CTTGAACATACTTTTGAACGCGCAATTTGCTCTTTTTAATCTGAACTTGTGTTTGGCCTCTGGGGGCTAAGCCCCCAGACCCCTTTTATGTGCCTACAAGTTGAAAAAAAGCTGGCTATGCCCCTGAAAGTTTAGCTAGAAATCAACCTTGCAGACCAATTTCCTGGAAATTTGACTGAAAATATTGCCTCTAGGTTTTTCCATAATTTGGGATATGTGACTTAGGTTTTGACCCCAGATGACCTATATATTCATCGAACTTGACCTAGAAATCATAGAAACAAATGCAATTATCACTGTAGAGAACGATCGCGCTTTCGGTTACAGTATAAAAAATTTAAGATGTAGGATTACTTTTGGGAAGACAGGTAGGTAATATTTTTGGTCAATACAATAGTTTAGTTCCTTAAAAATGTTTTTGTGCTTTGCTTGTAAGGAATTGAACTTGATCCGGAAAGTGCATACTGTAACACATTCCCTACATGATTATATTAAGAACAAAACTATCACCTCCAGAGTGTTAACAAGGCTTTTCCCATCTGGGCTGTGTAACCCCAGATGACCCATATTCAAACTTGAGCTAGAAATAATCAAACAACCTTTCTGATCAATTTCCACAATATTTGAACAAAAACAGTAGCCTCTAGAGTGTTAACATGGTTTTTCTATATTTGGGCTGTGTGATCTAGTTTTTGATCCCAGATGACCTATATTCAAACTTGAGCTAGAAATCATTAAACAAACATTCTGAGCAATTTCCAAGATATTTGGACCCAAACAGTAGCCACTAGAGTATTAACAAGATTTTTCTAGTTTTGGCTTCTGTGACCTAGTTTTTCATTCCAGATGACCCATATTTGAATTGTCTGAACAATGACTGGGACAAACATCCTGACCAAGTTTGGTGGCAAATGAGGCAAACATGTGACCACTAGAGTGTTAATGAACTAAATGTGGATGGAAGACAGACAACGGACATTCAACAATCCTAAAATCTCACAATGAGCTAACTCAGGTGAGCTTAAAACCACAACTTGTGTTGTTGCTTATAACAGACTTTGCAAACCAAAGATAAATACATATACATCTATTGATAATATTTAATCCCCTTACACTGTTGAGCATCAGTATGAAGTAGGCCATATGGCTTAAGTAAACATATTTCAAAACAAAAGTTAATGACCTGATAAAATACTTTATTATCATTATAAAATATCTTATTGATGCAAAGAAATGCATGCATTTTTATTTCTTTATCCATAGAATATCTAATTAAATGTAGTTCATATCTTAAAAATAAGTAAAACAATCATGTCTTAATTACTATTATATGAATGGTTCCATTACCATGGAAATAAATCAAAACCTGGTTCACTTCTAGATTGTTTTCTTTCAAAATATTTTTATATAAATTATGTGATTTTTACTGAACTTTATATCAAAATTATGACTTTTATCATGCAACCTAATGCACATTAAACATTTGAAGCATCATATAATATGCATTGTTAGCACAATCATTATAATCTTATTAATACTACAGCCAATGTAGAAGCAATCACATTTAATATAACAATCAAAAGTATGAGTATGAAAGTATCCCAATTGTGACATCTTAGTCATGCTAATCACAAGTAAAACAAAAGAGCCAACGATTAGCGGGGCCATGCTCAATTTTTTCATTTTTCTAAAGTCAAACACATCCAAGGAAGAATATTTTAGTAAAATGTACTCCTACAAAACAATTTTTTCATGTAAAAAATAAATTTTCATAATACATTGATTCAATAGCCTTGAGAAAATACTTTATTTTCAATGGTACATGTATGAATCGATGTACCAGTAGCTTTCAAATTGCTCTTTTCAAGTTCTTCAAATACTTATTAAATTTATAAAGACAAGAACAGGTTCACAAATGTAATTTCAAGTGTCTAGAAAGATTGCCACTATCAGAAAAGCATTTTGAACAATTTTTACAAGAAAATGGTCTTTCTCCCGTATGAATTCTCATATGTCTTTTGCGACAACTTGTATTCTTAAATTTCTTGTCACATACATTACATGGATAGAATATTGCATCATTATGAATTTTCATATGTTGTTTAAGACCACCTTTCCTTTTGAATGTTTTCTTACACACATGACACACCAGAGAGCTAACATTTGACTGCAGTTTCCTATGATTTTCAACAGGAATCATGGTACTCAGTTTCTCCTCACAGGCTGTACAATTAAACACAATGTCCTCCATGCTGTCATTATTATTAAGGTTTTCAGTATATTGTGTAAAGTTCTTTGTATCTATCAACTGCATTCCACATGTCACACACTTAAGTGACTTCTCTCCTGTGTGAATTAAGATATGCCTTGTAAGGAGAATATTCTTAGAAAATTTTGATTTACATATTCCACATTCAAATTTTTCATCTACTGCATGAAGTTTTATATGTCTAAGCAAATGCTCTCTTAACATAAAACTTTTTCCACATAGTTTGCAAGTAAACAATCTATCTCCAGTATGAATTAACATATGTCTTTCTAAACCACTCTTGTATCTGAACCCTTTGTTACAGATCTGGCAAAGTTTGGCTTCTGACACTTTGTCATGTGTAAGTTTATGCTTATTTAGAATTCTTGCTGTTGTAAAAGATTTCTTACATTCATTGCAGTGGTAATTTCTCTCATCCTTGTGGAATCTTAAGTGTACAGTTAAACTATATTTTTTGGTTAAAATCTTGTCACACAATGGACAAGCAAACGTCATCCTTATTTAACCAAGTTTCTGAAATATAAAACATATAAACTTATAAAATACAATACAAAACAACAAACAATACAATTTGAGAACAAGTATCAACAAGGAAAGACAGCATTCAATTATGTCATATTATTTAAAATATGGTTTTTGTCATAATGTTTCTTTTGTCTAAGAATAAATTAAATCAGTAAAGAAATAGCAATGTTATGACAACCTAAGCCATCTGGTTAGCTCAATAGGTACAGTACTGTCCTGTGAATTGGGCAACATGGCTTAGATTCCTGGATTGCACAGGTCACTCTCATTGTGACTGATCATGAAATACAAGTACTACCGTCATTTGCTCTGAAAATTGTTCATGAAAATTCTATTTTCAAGGGAGGCAATTCTGATAATTTTTGTGCTAGAGTTGTAAACCTTGTCACATATGATGTGGTTGATGACCAAAAACTTATATTTGAAGTTTGAAATAAATACCTTAAGAAATAAAGAACTTATAATGAAAAAGCCTAAAAACTAGAATCAGAAATCTTGACAAGGTTGCCAACGTTTGTTAAGTATGACGGCTCTCAATATACTCCCTATAGTCAAGATTAAAATGATGTGTATAATTTCCATACTGCCATACATCCATATTTTAAGTTTTATAAAATTTTCCAGCTCTTTTTTACTAATCACAATTATTGTTATATTTGTCATGTTTTAAGCCTACATGTATTTGTTGCCATGGCAAATAGGAAGAAAATATAAAGACATGCATAATCTCCAGACTGCCATCTACCCATATTTCAAGTTTCATAAAAATATTTCCAGTACTTTTTGCGTTATCGCTGGATCCAGTTTATGTCTAAAATTTGCCCTATTTTCAGTCTATTTTTGGCCATAGCAACCAGAATTTTCAACATAGGAAGAAAAAAAAAGACGTGCATAATCTCCATACTGCCATCTATGATCTATCCTTATATCAAGTTTCATAAAAATATTTTCAGTACTTTTTGCATTATCCAGGGATCCAGTTTTGTGGACGGACTGGCGGACTGACAGATGGAAGTTCTAACGGGACAGTAATAATGTGGCTCTCTATTGTTCTTTTAGCCACTCAAAAGAAAATAGCCACATAAAAGCATTACGGAATGAATGACATCAAAGAGAAAGAACAGTTAAACTGAGTAACCTATTGCCTCTCTAGCCCCATTATTACTGTCCTGTAAGATCGGACAGAGAGACTGACGGACAGAACGTTAACCTAAATTCCCCTCCGGTAAACCAGTAGGGGACTCCCCTCCGGTAAACCAGTAGGGGACTCCCCTCCTGTAAACTGTTAGGGGACTGATAACAAAACATGTCATTTTTGCCATATGTGTTCTTTTGTACGAGAATAATAAAATTAATAAATAAATTACAAAACGAAGAAAAAGTGAAACTGATTGTCCGATAAATAGGAAGGATCCCAGTATAGCCAATTGTAGTAAAATTAACTAATTTTAACTTGAACATCGAATCAAATCAGAGACATACATAACAAGGTGAATGCAATTAAATCTTATTGTCTTGTGCTCAAGTATGTATCAAATCATTTTTTTTTAATTGTTAATCAATAATTCACACTTACTTATCATGAAACTGCTGACTTTATACGATTTCGAGACGTTTCGGCCCCAAGACGTATCGGCCCCAAACTACCCAAGACGTTTCGGCCCCGGACATTTCGGCCCTTTACCAAATCGGCCCCATAATATGTACTGTATTTTAAACCGATATATTAATAGCATTTCAATGATTAAATGAATCAATTAATATATATATTTTATCATTTTGAATAAAAACTAGATTATAATAGTAGTAGGGGAAAAGTAATCAATACAAACAGAACAGAACATAAACTTTATTTTAAAAAATATAATACACAAACAAACAATTATTTACAACATATATAGATAATATTTTATTAATACAAACAGAACAGAACATAAACTTTATTTGAAAAAATATAATACACAAACAAACAATTATTTACAACATATATAGATAATATTTTATTAATACAAACAGAACAGAACATAAACTTTATTTGAAAAAATATAAAACACAAACAAACAATTATTTTCAGCATATATAGATAATATTTTATTAATACAAACAGAACAGAACATAAACTTTATTTGAAAAAATATAAAACACAAACAAACAATTATTTACAACATATATAGATAATATTTTATTAATACAAACAAAACCGAACATAAACTTTATTTGAAAAAATATAAAACACAAACAAACAATTATTTACAACATATATAGATAGATAATATTTACACTAGATATATACAAAATGAAAACAATAACAAATCAAGTAGAACTAATAAAGTCTTAGTCTTAGTCTATAGTATAGTGTCTATAGCTTTCCTTTTCAGTACATGAGCACAGTACATGAGCATACTTTCTCTATTACATATACACTTTAGCAACCTCTGTGAGGAAATCGGAGGTTATCAACTCCCGTGTGTCATATGCTTCCCAAAGCTTCTCTAGTTTTTCATGCAGCTTTCGATACTTGGGACGTCTGTACCTTGTAAGTAAGTGTTCACTGACTTGTTGTGCTTGAATGGATACCAGTTCACTTTCCGCGTACAAAAGGGGAATAAGTACATACATCTGGACATTCCCTCTACCAGCCTTTCCATTAATTCTACGGTGGTAGCCTGTAACAATTCAAAATAATTGTATAATCACGTATATGGTAATAACAATTAATTTCATAATTTATGTAAAAGTTGATTTATTGAATTGTTTTTCATGTTTATGTTTTTTGCTAATCAAAAGATATTCACATGTTTTAAAGCCATAAATTAAGACGCGCTGCATATGTTGGTTTAAGTGAACAGTGTCTTTTGTTGTCTGTTTTTGTTGTAGTTGTTTTTTCTTTTTCTTTCAATGTGTAACGATTGTTATAATTTTGCAGTATATTCATATTTTCGTATTTAATTAAATCAATGTAACACAATTTTGCTCCAAATCAAGTTATTTATCATTAAATTAAAGCATTCTCACCTTCTACATCATTATTGGTGCGCACACTCTGTCTATAGACGCACCACTGTCTCACCGACCAAACAGAGTTCCCCAGCCATTGGTTCTCGATGTACTCAATCAGTTCTTTAAGTTCTGTCGTGGAAGCTAAGGTCTTCAGCTTATTAAAAGCTATCTCGATGTGTTCAGCTGGCAGGAACGGTAATGCCAGTAATCTCTTAATATACCAATGTATGGCCTGTTTTCCCTCGTACGTCTGCTTCAGCCCAATGTTTCCTACTTTCCTCATAACTGCCTGCGACCAATGAAAGATGCACCCTTTTATGGAAACGTTTGGGAAAACGTCCTTGACGGCCTGCCACATTGCTGTAAAGTTAAAATTAGTATAAATGCACAGGAAATGAATACATTGGACAGATTATTACATTCGTTTTATAACATCTAGCATCTATCATTATCTAATAGCAATAATAATTAAAAATATTATCATGAGATTATAGCAAACCGTTTTTCATATCTTTTGAAGTTTTCTCTGATACTTCTTACCGCCAATTAGCATAAAGCTATAAACAGTTAATTAGTTACACCTTGAAAAAAATTACATATAGTTTAATTAAGATCAAAAGATAATGTTATCTAAGTAATAATTGTAATTAACTTTCTTAATCCAGAAGTTTTAGTGGTTTGTTTTATAAATTAAGTAACCTGCCTTTATTGTTTGTTACACCTTTAAAAACATTAACGTACATCTAAATGGTTCAAGAGATCAAAAGATAATAAATAATCATTTAAAGAATTAAAGTGTCATAATTGTTTAATTGTTATTTAATAAATTGTTGTTAATCAATCAAGCAATATCTATAGTGGGGCCGAAACGTCTCACGGAAAAGGGCCGAAACGTCCAGGGGCCGATTTTTCGACTGGGGCCGATTTGGTTTGGGGCCGAAACGTCCTGTTTCCCTTTATACACAGCAAATGGTGTTGTTAAACATATGAAAATAAGGGAGGTAACTATTCACAGTACGATTGACAATAAATATACTATTCTCCGGTCCGGTCGCTTCCAGTCTCCGGTCTTTCCCGGTCTATTTTGATTGGGATTTACTAGAGACCGAAGAACAGTATCATATTTGCTGACCTTGTCAGTGCCGGTCTTCTTATAATTATTTGTAAAGATGGTGAAAAAGTGTTGATATATGATATATTATTTTTCGTGTAAAATGTATGACAATATCTAAAAGATAAGATTTTCACATAAAAGTATTTAATACTAATAGTAATTAATAGTATTTTAAAATAGTATCTTTGTATTGTCATTTTTTATGTTGAATACTTTGATATACCGAAGTGAAATAAAGTTATCTGTCTGTCTATTAAGATCAAATCGAGAAAAAATATTATCACACTTGTAATATAAGATGAAAAATGATGAAATAACTAAATAACTAAATTACGGAAACGTATAGCGACCACCCCTACATGTTAGTTAAAACAGAATTTTTGACAAGCTATTTAATACATATTGTATACCTAACCAATTTTACAAACTAACTTGATCTGAAATATTTATCAAGTAATTTGTTGTTAAGCTTTGTGTATTAAATATTAGCTGCAAAATCATTACAATGTTGAAATATATTTATGCAAATGTTAAAGCATGCGTTTGATTGTCTTCGAACATGAATATGTCAGATTTATTGATGTTAGTGTTGGTTTAAAACAAGGGGAACCACTCTCACCTTTACTTTTTATTTTGTTCCTCAATGATATTTATAATTTTTAAGACTTAAATAATTTCTCTGAGGGTGATTTGAACCAGATATCAATGTACATGTATGTTGATTTTTGCTGATGACATTGTTTTTTACTGCGAATGAATACAGCTTACACGTCCAACTTGATTGTATTTATCAATACTCGATTAAATGGTGCCTACAAATAAACACGAAAAAGTTAAAAGTTTGTATTTTTGAAAAGAGAAAACAATCTACATGTAATTCTTTTGAATGGTTACTAACCCTAACCTATGGTGAGAAATTAGAGATTGTAGATAATTTTTGTTATTTAGGTAAAACTTTATTTACACTGGGAATATGAAAAATGCTGTTAATTTTCTCTCTGACCAAGCTCTCAAATAATATAATAGTCTCTTGTCATTATTTACTAGAGTAAATCTTGACATTTAAACTAAACTTTCACTTTTTGACTCTATGGTTCTACCTATTTTATTTTGTACGCCTTGGAGATTTGAAGCATTTATGAATTTAATTTTGGAACATATTCTTGGGGTCCGAACATAATCTTCAACTTTAGCGGTATTATGTGAATTGGGTCGTTTCCTTTTGTCAGTTTTAATGAAAGAGACAGCCTTGAAATACTGAATAAAAATAATGAGTAATCAACACATGCCTATGTATTAATTTTTTTATAGATCAATGTATTTCCCAGAACGTAAATTCTTAATCAAATAAAATTAAAGCGTTACTTGATCGATAGTCTTGGTTTCAATGATATAGGGTTAAATTTTGACTCTTCCTGTAACTATTTTTTATTTTGAAACAAAGATTACGAGATCAGTATATCCAAAACTGGAAAATGGAGACTCATAATGTAACTAAACTTGAAAACATTAAACAATGTAAAGTTGACTTTTGTTATGAAAAATATTTAGACATATTTACTAATAGTAAACAAAGAGAGCTATATACTAAATTTAGAATATCAGCACATAATCTCGAAATTAAAGTGGGTAGAAAGACAAAATGCTGGCATTGAAAGACAAAATCGTATATGTAAATGTAATCATCACAATCAGTTGCATCTGAGTACCATTTTTTATTATGCTGTAATAAATATTATGATTTACGACAGAATCATTTTTCAAATAATGCTTGGCCTTCAGTGAAAAAGTTCATAAATATTATGTCATCAAATCGTAGAACTATTATTGTAAAACATGCAAAGTTTTTAACGGAAGCTTATAAGTTGATAACATTTAACCCTTCTGCTTTGTAGGATTTATTTCATTTGTGAATTTAATCTTCTTAATGTTTGATATTTGCTGATTATTTATTATGTGTAGTAATTTGTGTGACTTTTATTTGTACTGTATGTCTTGACCATATTTAGTGTGTTGTAAATGGTCAAAGGTATTTATAATGCCGATTTGACAATAAATAAAATGAAATGAAATGTTTTTATCTGACAGAAATATAATTAAACATGCTATTATTATATTTAGAATTGTATGTTTATGTATAATAAATAAATAAATAAATAAATAAATAAATAAATAAATAAATAAAAAAAAAATAAATAAATAATAAATAAATAAATAAATAAATAAATAAATAAATAAATAAATAAATAAATAAATAAATAAATAAATAAATAAATAAATAAATAAATAAATTTGAGAGATGATCTGTTTAAATCAATTATTGTAACCAAACTAAGAGACAAACATTCAATTTTTGGAAAAAAATCTTATTTATTTGTTACGATATATACGATATAATTATACAAACGATATTTGTTACAAGACCGGGCAATAAACGTTTGAGACTTTTCGCCGATCCCGGTCAAAATAGACCGGGAGAGACCGGGAATTACCGATAGGAGACCTGCGAATAGTATTAGGGAAATACTAGTTTCCATGTGTCACTTTTCTATAGATGAGGTATGAGACCACTAAAATCTCTTCCGACAACAACAACAATGGCGACCAATGCGGCCAGTCGGGAGTAGTAGAGTTGTTAGAATCTACTCTTGAGATTATTAAAACACGCGAAAACGAGACAGTCTCTTGATTTTGTGTTTATACATCGACCAAAAGGTTTGGTAATACAAGTGAGTACCGATAAGGTGTTGGTTTAAAAAATCTGGCACTTTTACAGATCTAACTCGGGCACAGGAACTTGAATTCTATCAATATTAATGATAATATCCAAAATATATCCCCTATACAGTATTTAGGGTTTGCCTAAAATACGAAAGTGAGATTTTTGACGAAAGTGAGCGAAAGTGAGCGAAAGTGACTTTTAAAATTTAAATTGCACCGTTTTAATAGAAGTTTACAGTAAAATTGTTGTTTGAAGACGTATATTATTAGCAACTTATTATATATATTATTATAATAAATAACCATAATCATGATTAAATCGCCATTTATTTGCCTAATTTCTATATTCAAGTTTAGTTACCTTCCTTGTGCTGGCATAGAAAAATACGAAAGTGACTTGTAAACTATTAGAAATAGAGTTTAAATTTAGTAGTATAACTTTCAATTCAACGCTTTATTTCATATTTGACAAGTCACTTTCGTATTATTTAATGTGAACGAAAGGAAGATCTCAGAACTTGTGTATAGATATTATGCAAACAAATGGTGATTAAATCATCATAATGATTATTTTTGAAAATAAATATTATATATTTCTGATAATATACGTCTACAAACTGCAATTTTAGTATAAATTTCAATTTAAACTCTATAAGTAGACTTCTATATTTAATATTTTACAAGTCACTTTCGCATTTTTCAAAGTGAGCGAAAGGAAAGTTTCAGAACTTGTGCATAGAAATTATGTAAATAAATGGCAATTAAATCATCATAGTGATTATTTTTTGAAAAGAAATATTATAAGTTGCTAATAATATACGTCTGCAAAACCAATTTTACAATAAAATTCTATTAAAACGGTACAATTCAAATTTTAAAAGTCACTTTCGCTCACTTTCGTCAAAAATCTCACTTTCGTATTTTAGGCATACCGACAGTATTTATTTAGACTGTATATAAGATATATTTTGGAAATTATCATTAATATTGATAGAATTCAAGTTCCTGTGGCTCAGGTCAAGATAATTATAAAGATGTTGTTTATAAAATTGTCATAGAGGATCTAGCATTTTATTAAAGTACAAGTATATCTATTTACATTATTCGGCAATCTATTGGATAAGAACCCTATGTATATTTCAGGAGTAAAACTTGTATATAATACTCTAAAGAATATTGGTCTTACTAAACACTGCTAAGGACTGCTAAAGCTACAGTCTCACTAACATCCCGGCAGAGCCCCGGTAGACGTCCTGGGTGATCCGGGAACAACGGGGGTACATCCGTAACTCTGCCAGCAACGTCCTGGATGATCGGGAAACATCCGGCATTCGACCTCGGATGGAATAAAATATTTAATATAACCGGGGTAGTCCAGGATGATCTGGGAAGGTATAGCTTTGCCGGCTTCATCCTTAGCGCTGCCCGGACAACCGGGGCTATACCGGGTAAGCACCATAGCTCTGCCGACACAAACCGGGGATGATCCGGGGTATGATAAAGCCGGTACAGCTACGGTAGAGCCCCGGTATATGCTGGCAGAGC